GGAGGCTGTAAGGGCTGTGCCCAGGGGTGTCCAGGGAGTGCACGGGGTCTCGTTCTGCCGGTGGGGCCTCTGATCCCTCTGTTCCCCCCACTCCCAGGTGGACGTTCAGCTTCAGGTGGCTGTGCCACAGCCGGGCCGCTACGTCCTGGTGGTGGAGTATGCCAATGAGGACGCCCGCCAGGAGGTGGGCGTAGGCGTGCACGTCCCGCGGCGGGCCCCTCAGCAGGGGGCACTCACTTTGCACCCCTGCCTCTACAGGTCTGTGGGAGTGGGAGAGGATTCGGGTCTGGGGGGGACGTGTGGGAGGGCTTGGGCCCCCCGCTGACCACCCCGCCCCCGTCCCCAGCACCCTGTGCCGGGGCGCCGCCCTGGACACGCAGCACCACCTGGCGGTCTTCCACCTGGACACGGAGGCCAGCGTCCGGCTCACGGCCAAGCAGGCACGCTTCTTCCTGGTGAGGCCCTGACCCCTGACCTGCATAGGCCCCAGGGCCCCCCTGTGGCTTCAGGCCTTTCGGAAGATTTCAGACGGCATAGAAGTAGAAGAGTGTGGGGAGCCCAGGTGCCCAGCAGCCGCCCCACCGTTAGTGCGCGCACGGCTCGTGGGGAGGGGGTGCGTGGGGGGATTGGAGAGGAGGAGAAAGTAACTATGTTAACAAAAAACCGCCTCCTGGTATGATTTGCAAGAACATCGCGGTGTGAAGGGGTCTGTTCGGCGGGGTCATTGGCTCCTGGTCGTCCTCCGTGCTCTGAGAACGAGGACGACCTTGCCGCGACACGGGCCCCTGCACCTGCCTGGGCACGAAGCATCACGCTGTGCTAACGTCGCGGACGCCCAGGAGCGAGCGGAGACGTGCCCTCGATAAAGCTCAGGGCGGGTGACGCTCGCTCTCCCAAGACCAGTGTTACGTTTCCCGCCCTTTAGAAAATGGATCTTCTCCTGCACGTGCTGTTGTAAAAGCGTCGCATGTCGGGAAAGACTCACAAAGGGAAAGGGAGCCCCGTGGCTGCCCGCCGCACCCCCTCCGTGCGCTTTCTGGGGCTGGTGTGTTTCATGCGTGTTGCTGAAGACACGGCCGCAGGGCTCCCGCCGGACCAGCTGACGTCAGGGCGCCTGCGTCTATGCTCAGCCCTGTGGCGGGGACCCAGACCTGCCTCGCGTGCACAGCCCAGCGTGGCTCTCCCTCACCCCCCACACCCAGGCCGGGAAGCAGCACGCCCCCCGCCCTGACGCCCCTCGGCCCCCGTGGCCACCCCCCCGGCACTGACCGCGCCATCCCATCAGTGCGTTCTGGAGCTTTGTTACCGGAATCGCACAGGGCAGGTGTCCCCGCCTCCGCTGTGGGGTTTCCTGGGCAGCTTTGGTGTCTCGCGTTTGTTGTATTTGCCACACAAAATACTGTCGCTGGAGCTGAGGGGGAGGTCGCGGTCGAGGAGCCGCAGAGAGTGACAGGATGGATGGCGGAGGGGAGACAGGAGGGTGGCCCTGAGGAGAGCTGAGAAGGGCTCTGGTCTAGACTGTGCAGTCGAGGGCCAGTGTTCGTGCAGCCAGAGGAACCAGGGACTAGGCGCGGAGAGCGGGACGCGGGGCCGACGCGGGGTGTGGGAGGGTCCCACGCGCACGTCCATGCCTGGCTCTCTGTCCACAGCACAGCGTCACCCTGGTGCCCGTGGAGACATTCAGCTTGGAGTTCGTGGAGCCCCGGGTCCGCTGTGTCAGCAGCCACGGAGCCTTCGAGCCCAGCAGGTGGCGGGGCCGGGAGGGGCCGGGACCGCTGGCGGGGCACACCGGCCGGCCCGCAGGGACTCACTCCCACGCCCCCCTCCAGTGCCACTTGCCTGCCGTCGCGCTTCCCGAAGCCGCCCCAGCCCATCATCCTGCGGGACTGCCGCGTGCTGCCGCTGCCTCCCGGCCTCCCCCTGGCCCGCTCGCAGGACTTCACGCCCGGCGCGCTCCCGCCAGGGCCCCAGCCTCGGCCCTCCACTGCCGTGGACCCCGACGTGGAGCCCACCCTGCTGCGCCACCCCCAGGTGAGGGCCCAGGCCGGGAGGACTCCACCCTCCATCCCGGCTCGCACTCCTACCCCCGCGCCCGCTCAGCAGAGCCTCTCCCTGCAGGGGACTGTGGTCTTCACCACCCACGTGCCTGCGCTGGGCCGCTATGCCTTCCTGCTGCATGGCTACCAGCCGGCGCACCCCACCTTCACCGTGGAAGTCCTCGTCAGCGGGGGCCGAGTCTGGCAGGGTGAGTGGCAGGGGCGGGCCATGGGGGCGGACCCCCGGACGAGGAGCCAGCCCGTCGGGGGTCTCTTCACACGGCCCCTCGTGCGGTCATCGCGAGAGGTGTCCGCTCTCAGAGGAAGGGCCCAGGGCAGGCGGCAGCCCCAGCCTCCGGGCCCCCTTCCCGGATTCCCTTGATTCCCTTCCAGAGTCGGGGCTCGCCCTGTCACATAGGCGGGTAATCCCGGGTTCACCGTGGGACACGTGTCGACGGCACCTGTGTTCTCACACGTGTGTCTGCTTCGTTTTTGCTCGGCCGAGCTCGGGCCCCGTGCCTAGCAGGCCCAGCCAGAGAGGCCTGACGCACGGTCACATGTCCGCCTTGTGCATCGAAGATGCACGCCCCTTGGTGGGCAGGGCGCTGTCCCGTGGCCATCTCTTCCTCCCTGGTGGCTCCGGGAGCGACTCCGGAATGAGGCCACGGGGCCACGGCCGGTCTGTGGGGCGTGGAGGGTGTGCGCCGACCTGCCTTTTCATCCCCCTCCAGGCCACGCCAACGCCAGCTTCTGCCCACACGGCTACGGTTGCCGCATCCTGGTGGTGTGTGAGGGCCAGACCGTCCTGGATGTGACCGACAGCGAGCTCACCGTGACCGTGCGTGTGCCCGAGGGCCGGTGGCTCTGGCTGGTGAGTCCTGAGGACGCCACGTCTGCACGTAGATGTCTTGGGGCCTGACGTGGGGCTAGCGTCTCCGGGTATGGATGTCCTGAACGCGTCACACCATCGGTCACCTCAGGCTCAGGCAGGGTGTGTCCATCTGCGTGGCCCAGCCCCACGCCAGGTGCCAGGGAGAGCGGGCTCCACGGACCTCCGGGCCAGGCTGTGAGGCTGGTGGAGGTGGGAGGGTATCTAAGAGCCAAGACGTTGCCTGCTATCCCCCTGGAGCCCTGCTGGTCAGGGTGGCCTTCTTGGAGGAGGAGGCCTAGAGGGATGGAGAGGGAGGGCAGAGGCATGTCTGGCAGACAAGGATGGGAGGGGGGCACCAAGAGGCTGGACGTTTCTTTATCGCTGAGCGTCACAACCCCAAGCGTCCATTAGGCCCCAGAAGCCGACCTCCCTTCAGAGCAGCCCACTGGGCACCCAACACCTGCCAGCCTTGCTGGGGCCCGGGTTGGGTGTGGTGCGGCCACTACTGTCTTAGCTGCCTGGCTGGACCCTGGCCGGTGATGTGCTGCTTCCGGCAGGCTCTGGTATACTTCCCCAACCTGGGTCCTCCCCTGGGCCCATGGGAAGGTGACCAGGCCTTGGTGCTCTAGGAGTATGTGCTGGTGGTCCCCGAGGAGGCCTACAGCTCCAGCTACCTCCGAGAGGAGCCCCTGGACAAATCCTACGACTTCATCAGCCAGTGTGCCAGCCAGGGATACCACATCAGGTGGGCTGGGCGGGGCTGGGGCGGCTGAGGGTGGGCGGGGACTTGGCCTCATCACCTGATTCTCACCCCAGCCCCAGCAGCTCGTCCCAGTTCTGTCGTGATGCAGCCTCCTCTCTCTCTCTCTTCTATAACAACGGGGCTCGGCCTTGTGGCTGCCATGAAATGGGAGCCACGGGCCCCACATGTGAGCCCTTTGGGGGCCAGTGTCCCTGCCGTGCCCATGTCATCGGCCGTGACTGCTCCCGTTGTGCCACTGGCTACTGGGGCTTCCCCAGCTGCAGGCGTGAGTAATTGAGCCCCCGGGGGTGCCGGCGAAGGAGGGTCCTAATCCCAAGGAGGCTTCCCAGTGGAAGGAAGTGTGGGTATGGTGGCCAGGAGAAAGTTCTAGAGCTCTGCTGCCCCGTCTGTAGGACCTCAGGCAGCCCGTGGCTTGGCTGTCAGGCAGGGTCCGGGGACCGGACAGCGATTCTGCGCAACTGACCGCACATCAGAGGAGCCGCCTGGGCCAGGCGGCCTGGAGCTTGGCGAAACCGGGCCAGGGTGGGGTGGGGTGGGGTGTCCTCGGGCCCGGACTCCCGGCCTCTGATGGGGCAGAGGGTTCACCACGCCCGTGCTCTGCAGCCTGTGACTGCCGAGGCCGCCTGTGTGATGAGCTCACCGGCCGCTGTGTCTGCCCGCCTCGCACCGTCCCGCCCGAGTGCATCGTCTGTCAGCCCCAGACCTTTGGCTGCCACCCCCTGGTTGGCTGTGAGGAGTGTAACTGCTCGGGGCCTGGTGTCCAGGAGCTCACGGATCCCACCTGTGACATGGACAGTGGCCAGTGCAAGTGAGCTGGGCAGTGGTGCTGTCACCATGGCCCGGGGTCGGTCCTGGGTCAGGGATGGATGGCATTGCCACTGAGAGCACCCCCCGCCAGGTCTGGAGAGGGGGTTACACCTTGGGGATCCGCTGCCTTGGGAGCCACCTGTGGTCTCAGTAAGCGTGGAGGGGAGGCCCGGCCAGCGTCTGAACTTCCTCTGGCAGGTGCAGACCCAATGTGGCCGGGCGCCGCTGTGACACCTGTGCCCCTGGCTTCCACGGCTACCCCAGCTGTCGCCCCTGTGACTGCCACGAAGCGGGCTCCACGCCCGGCGTGTGCGACCCCCTCACGGGCCAGTGCTACTGCAAGGTGAGGGGCCGGGGGGTGGGGCCTACGTGGCCTCCATGGCCTGATGCCCCACCTCCTGTGTTGCCTCAGCCGCTGAAACTCCTCCTCTGGGGGCACTGGGGGCTTCCCGGCCGCTTCTGGGGACTCAGCCCGTCAGCGAGCGGGTGACGGCGAGCCAGGGTGGTCGAGCCCACAGCACGTGGCCGACCGACCTGCCCTGTCCACCCGCCCCCAGGAGAACGTGCAGGGCCTGAGGTGTGACCAGTGCCGCCTGGGGACCTTCTTCCTGGACGCTGCCAACCCAAAAGGCTGCACCCGCTGTTTCTGCTTCGGGGCCACCGAGCGCTGCGGGAGCTCGGCCCACACCCGCCGGGAGGTGTGCTGGACTGGGGCAGGGCCGCCTCTCAGAGGGGACACGTGACCCCCAACCGGCAGGCCCCGGGTGCGGGACGGGCCCCGTGGCACGTGAGGGTGCTCACCCCGCGCCCCTCCTGTGTGCCCACAGCTTGTGGACATGGAGGGCTGGACGCTGCTGAGCAGCGACCGGCAGGTGGTGCCTCACGAGCTGCGGGCGGCCTCGGAGCTGCTCTACGCCGACTTGCGGCTCGGGGCCGAGGCCTTCCCTGAGCTGTACTGGCAGGCCCCACCCTCCTACCTGGGGGACAAGGTGAGCGAGCGAGGCCGGCCCTGGGCACGGCACTGTGAGGGTGTCCAGGAACCCCCTGGAGGCTGGGGGAGGACAGCGGTGAGGTGCCCACGTCCAGGGCGGGATAGGGGCTCTGTGAGGGTGCCCGGGGCCCAGCCCAGCCCCGTTGCTGGTGACCCTGGGCCCGCGGTCAGGGTCTGGCCGGGTCACGTCTCTCTGCCCTGCCTCCAGGTGTCATCCTATGGCGGGACCCTCCGCTACGAACTTCACTCGGAGACCCAGCGGGGAGACGTGTTCATCCCCATGGAAAGCAGGCCGGACGTAGTGCTGCAGGTAGCCGGACGGGGTGGGTGTGGCCGCGCGGGCTGGAGGGCACCGCCGAGCGGGACGGCGGGCGGCCCGGCTGCCGGCCCTCATCTGCCCGTGCGCCTCCCCAGGGCAACCAGATGAGCATCATGTTCCTGGAGCCGGCGTACCCGGCGCCCGGCCACGTCCACCGCGGGCAGCTGCAGCTGGTGGAGGTGAGCAGAGCTGGTCCGGGCACCCGGGGCCATCCTGGATCCTGGCACGGCC